GAGAACCCCCCCCGTCCTGCTGGCCACACTCTTCTTGATGCACCCCAGGATCCCATTGGTTTTCTTGGCAGCCAGGGCACACTGCTGGCTCATGGTTAACCTGTCGTCCACTAGGACACCCAGGTCCCTCTCCGCAGAGCTGCTCTCCAGCAGGTCCACCCCAAGCCTGTACTGATGCATGAGTTTGTTCCTCCCCAGGTGCAGGACCCTGCACTTGCCCTTGTTGAACCTCATCAGGTTCCTCTCTGCCCAGCTTTCCTGCCTGTCCAGGTCACGCTGAATGGCAGCACAGCCTTCTGGTGTATCTACCACACCTCCCAGTTTGGTGTCGTCAGCAAACTTGCTGAGGGTACATTCTAACTCTTCATCCAGGTCGTTGATGAAGAAGTTAAACAAGACTGGGCCCAGTACTGACCCCTGAGGGACACCACTTGTCACCAGCCTCCAACTAGACTCAGCGCCTCTGATGACAACCCTCTGAGTTCTGCCATTCAGCCAGTTCTCTATCCATTTCACCGACCACTCATCCAGCCCACACTTCCTCAGCTTCCCTGTGTTCCTCTCTAGATTTTCAATTTCAACAAACTAGCAGGCTCCTACCTTGCTGAACCTTGGCGAGCATGAGGAGAACTGCCGAATTTCCACATGATCATCATCATTAGTGTCCTCCTCTTCTTCTGAATCCAGGTGTTGGTACCGTTCCGAACGGGCTGTGAACAAGACGTGGCACATTTCATCAGTGCAGGGAGTGCTGATAACTGTCACACCTCAAGCATTCCTACTTGTCTACTTACAAAGAACCTTGAGTGTTCATACACCATGCAGGGTTTTTTCCTTAATACTGAAACATACCCAGCCAGCTTTGCTCATCCTGTACAATTAGCAGTGACGGATACCTCTTTCCTACTGCATTTATCTTGTCTCATCAGCTATATTCTATTCTGAAAGCAGCTGATACTCAGTAGGTGTCTAATCCTGCAGACCCTTCATGGTAGGGATACTTCTTCCCTATGGCAAACAATCATACAGAAGGAAAACCAGAAACAATTCACTGTCCCAATTTCCAATAAACAGCTTTATGATTGTACAAGGTCTGTCCTGCAAACATATATACAAGCCTTCTTTAAAATACAAAAATATTTACCCCCAAAAAATATTACCTCTTCTCCCCCTACAACTAGAAAAAGGATTAGATTTTGTAAAAGAAAATGGGCAAGCAGCCAATACGCAAAGCCATTTTTTAATGCAAAAATCCAAACTGCCTCCAAAGAGATTTTGTGCTTTGAGATTTGCAGTACTGTATTCCTAAGCCAGCCACACTGGATTTTGCAGAGCGGGCATTAAGAAGTTTGGCTACAGAAAGCTGATAGCTATACTGAGCCAAATTTGCTGCACTGTATCAGCCAGAAAGCTACTTTTGTAAACTCTAAAATTTTCTGCATTAGGGTTTATAACAGCAACGTCAACTCTTATCAGTGTCTGTAGGAGATACATCCTGATGTGAGAATTCCAGTCTTCACAAAGGACTCGCATCAAAGTCACCCCGATAACGTGCTGAGCATGCCTGGGCACCCGGGGAGTTTGCCATTGCTTGACGGACTCAGTGATTTGCACCGCTGAACATCAAGCAGTGATTTTACCCACCAGGATCCGCTCACGGCTGCTGTGCTGAGCCTCTCCCAATCACTGACCCAATTCAGTGACCAGAGCTCAAGTTTCAATATCCACAAAGCCCAGTTAGCAGAGGGAACACACCACCACATCGGTTTCTACATCTATGTTGTATCAATACGTCAATACACGCAAAACACACCCCTGCCCCCTCGGCACAGCTGGACTCAAATTGCTCTCTGCGGCAAGTACACGGAGATCTCTGTCTATCTCCCTCTTCATTCTACTTCTCCATCCAACCCCCCACCTGAAAGCCTCTTACCCAAACTGGGAGAGGACTATCTAAGTAGGATTGCTGCTTTTGCAGCGTGGCAACTGCGAGGCTGGAGGCAGGCTGCTCTCTTCCTCCCTTCACCCTGAGCAAAGCGCAGGAGAGGAGCAAAAATGTGCTTCATAGGGAGCCAGCAAGTCCCGTGGCCCTGGGAGGATGGAAGACATTCCTCCAAAGTAGGGCAGAAATTTCCATAGGTCAGGAAGCTCACATAGCCCAGTACCATCCTGCGCTGCAGCTGGAGTTGGGGAAAGACCCCACCCCCCAACCCCAGTGACAAGCCCAGGCTCCTTCCTCCTGCTCAGCTCCCCAGGTCAAATGAGGAAAGCCAGGGAGCAGAGGCTCTGGTGGCAGAGGGCTCTCCCTCACGTGATGCTCCTCCCTTCTCTCCCAAGAGCAGCGACTCTGTCTGGTGCTTATCTGGAAATACCAGGAATCTTGCATAGCACTGATACCATGGCAGTTCCTAGACATTTATACATACCAGACAGGCACTTCACATCTCATTAGAGTTAACAATACTAAAATAAGGTGATACACTTGCAGTGAAAATAATTTAAGTTGCTTTAAATCTCTAAAGAATTTTCC